TAAATTGTTTAGGTTGTTTTCCACTCAAAGGAGACTGGGGGGAAAATAAGTTTTCCTCTTCGTTCTGTGTAAGTGGTAGATTCTCACCGAAAGTTGTTTAAAGATGAGCTTCGATCTGAATTTTTCTAATTATAAGTGTCTTCTCTCGGCGTAGGAATAGCGCAGTATCCATTTTGTAACTGCGAGGTGGGGGTGGTACCGCGACGCTACCGGCGGCGGCGGCGCGAGGCGTCTGGACCGCCCCTCATTGCCGCTGCTAATCAACCCTACCCGCGTGACACTTCGCGTTATCGATCCCTCATCTGCCTCCGCGCTGCATCAACGTTCACTTTAAATGGCATAATTAACCCTTAATTATTTTGTTTATTACACACAAAGCCATAAACGAACATCATCAGCGCCACCGCTTTCGCGAAGTTTGCAGAGCAATCCCACATTTGTAGATAATCCGCACACAAACCGTACATACAACTCGAAACGGTAAAGGAAAAAAAAAGCCGAAGAATTTGCCCCAATTTTTTAGCAAGCACCGCATAAACTCAAGGTAAGAGTGCAACTAACCTAGTCCAACCCGGAAGCACCAGAAATCGAAATTATCGATTGATTCCCCTTGCCGGTGATCGAAACCTCACAATGCAATTGAGCATTCATAAAAAATATCTCCCTTCATTTTTTTGCACCCTTAAACTACCCTTGTTTTTTTCACCCTCAAACGGTCACGGAATATTTTTTTTGTACAGCAGCTGATCACGAAATGAAATTTTGTGGTAGGGCAATTAAAAAGTCCGCGGATTCGGGTCGAGGAGCAGAATTTCGGTACAGTCCTATTTTAGATGCATTCTTCTGATGAGCATAAAAATGAACAAAAGAAAAGGAAAATTCCTAGAAGGTTTTCAGAATGCAAATCTAGTATTTTTTTACCCTAACGAAGCCACCCTCGCTTTTTTTCACCCTCAAGTCAATGTATAGTGGACCTGTAAAATAAAAAACGAATTTCCAAAGTTCATATACATAAATATTGCGCATGACAAAATTGGTGAGCTCCAATCTTCCCTAACTTGAAAAAAATCTATAATGGTGTATATGTGTATATAAGATATGCTAGTTAGACGGAAGGAAAAAAAGTTTTGATTGTTTCACGCGTTCTCTAACTTAAAAGCGTCCCCTTTTATCTAAAATTCTTGTTTCATAAGCTCGATCGGAGTTTTGCTCGAGGTAAGTAGGTCCTCGGGACAATTAGCGTTGTCTTAAATCGGGAATAAACATGGTATTGTGTGATAAAAACTTCGGCTCGCGCTGTATAAAGGGGATGATGTTAGTTGTTCTGACGGGACAGGCGACTTGTTCATGCGTGAAGTTTAAAAGCTTACTGCACGAGCTTTTTATACTTGAAAGCTCATGACAGTTACAGCTATGTTGAGCTTTGAACAAAATACTCAGGATGTTATACTCTATAATGATATCGAGTTCATGGATACATTTATGAAAGATTATGAAAGGTCTTTTATATTTTCTGAAAACAAACAAAAAAGCTCTTTTATCTTTTTCGAAACGTATCGATACTTGCCCTTCGGAAAATTTGTCAAATTAATTCATCCGCTCCCGCGACTCTGCAAAAATTACGATGTTGAGTGGACGGTTTAAACGACACTTAATTAAGAAAGAAATGGGGAGCCTCAGTTTATAATTATGCGATACTTCGGGGATTAAATTGCACGGTTTTTTCCCCGTTTTGGTTACAATTCCGTGTAAATTAGTAGGTAATCTGCCTTGGGGCCGCAAGGGTCTCACGCTTTGATTCTTGTTGTAATTTCTCAATTTTCGCTCCTTGATGTAACATTTACAACGTCCATCCCGTTATTTTTAAGAAAAAAGATGATCAGCTGTCACCGATAGGTTATTTTTTACCATTCTATTTACTAACTTTAAAAATAGATAGAATTAATACGTACTACAAGGGAAAACTTCACCGTTCGTAATCTAAGACTGCACTATTTACCTTCCATCACTTTGGCCAATAAGAGTACACAATTAAAAAGTCGATTCATACATTTTTGAGAATTTGAACGCGTTAATCCTCAAATTTTAAGCTCTTACTCTTCCCTTCTTGTTAGTTTACAAATTAAATTAAATAAAAGCTCAACACTTGATCGATTCGATATAAATTAGGTTTTTCAGCGATTCGCATTCAACTTTTGAGAATGAAGGGTTCGGTTAATATTACAAGAATGCCTTGCTAGCACCGCATGAATTTAAGGGATCAAAAATGAAATTTTTTTTAGTACATATCATGAATTTCTACTGACAGTAATACATGAAGGTTTAAATGCACTTTTGGGTACTGACAGGGTAGTGATTTTTGTTTGCAAGGAGCCCATCCTAAGATATCTTCTTTCTTTGAAATAAAGGTAACAATTTTGAAAACAATTCTAATCCTAAATGACTGGTTAACACAAGTGAAAGAAGATTAAATAGTGAAGGACTTCATCTTAAATATTTCTTTAGGGCGTGAAAAGGGTTCCCAATAATGGGATTAAAACAATTTTTCTATAATAGTATAATATTCCCATGCCCGTTCCTGTTTCTGTTAGGGACTCGTCTGTAAACCGCACGAGCCCCTCAGGTTTGAGGAATCTGAGCCCAGCCACTGCTCCTTGTCCGGGAGAATGACTTTAAATATATCTCTTTGGTCTTAGTAAGACAGCACTTCTTGCGAGGAGGGGTTAGGAGGATCTGAGGGTTTCCTCCCAGATCCGTCCGTGCCCAAGTCTGCCTCCTAGGTAGAAACAACTTTGATCTTTTTGTGTACACTCCTCTGAATTCATTTGAATTAACGTGAATTAACTAGAATTAACGTGAATTAATTTGAATTAGTGTGAATTAATTAGAATTAACGGGAAATAATTGGAATTAACGGGATATCATTTGAATTAACGGGATATTTTTATTGCCTTTTATTTTATTGCCTTTATTTTATAGTGGGCGGACTGTTAGCAATTTGCTATTCTTCCCACTCAACCCACTATACAATCACAAACCGCCATGCCTTACCTGGGATTCGAACCCAGGCCCCTTGTAGTCAAAGTTAGAGCTTCTTACGTAAGCTCATCTGAGCTACGCAGGTCGGCATATAATTTGAATTAATGTGAATTAATTTGAATTGACGTGAATTAACTAGAATTAACGTGAATTAGTTTGAATTAGTGTGAATTAATTAGAATTAACGGGAAATAATTGGAATTAACGGGATATCATTTGAATTAACGGTATATAATTTGGATTCACGTGAATTAATTTGAATTAATGTGAAATAATTCACGTGAATTAATTTGAATTAGGTAATGTGAAATAATTCGAATTCACGTGAATGAATCCGGAAATCCCAGACATGCGCACAGGGTATCATTTGATTCGTCACGTCGAGTGCTATCGAATGACATCGGTTCCACTCGTCTAGGAGAGCCCGGATGCTTTTTAATGACCCGTACTCTCATCAAGACTATCGAATAGCATCGATACCGCACGTCTAGGAAACCTCGGAAGTCCTAGACATGCGTACGAGTTTAGCCTAGGTTAGCTCACCCTGAAGAAATGCGTAACGGCTGTTACCGGGTTGGAAGAAGAGTTTTAGTGGGTAAGGTGGTTAAATAAATCTACCTACACCTGATCAACACAGCCAAAAGGAATTTTGAACTTGGTTTTGACACTATTAGAACCCTTTCGACCTTTTTTGGCATGATTACGCCCACAGGAATTGACGGATTGACTAGAAATTTGGCAGGTATCATTATCACAACCGTAGTTCCCGGCCATTACATTTTCGCTACAGCCTTACGCCCTCCCAAAGGGGAGGGGGGTATCGATTTTATCTCGCGTACACTGAGATACATTATTCGTCACTTGAAACTTAACTATTTTCTAGATGCAACTCAATTTGCTTCCTCCTCGGAAATTGTATGGATTAGTTTGAATTAGTTTGCATTAACGTGAATTAATCTGAATTTGACACCAAAAATGATACTTGATTTCCCCTAGCCGGCCGCGATCATTTCACTCCTCCCAATCGTTTAGCCGTGTAGAAGCTTTCCAAGCCCGTGCTTCCACAACCAACTGTAAAGGCTGTACTCCCAGAAGTGCCTCCATGACCAAAGTTGGCGTCGTTTTCGTGGCTCCAGTGACTCCCAAATGGGCGAGTCTCTCAACCTTTCGAACTTGTTGTTAAACGCACCCCCGATATCTAAGAACGCTCCCAGGGCTACCCCCCCCCCTGATAGACATTCCCCTCCCCTCCACCTTGCACACAAGCGTGTGAAGAGTCGTCTCCGTGGATATGCCAGCCCTATGAGCATCTTGGAATGAGTGTAATGGTCTTCTCCGCCATTTTTTAGAGGAAATGACGATACGAACCTGATATCCTGAAAACCTCCTTACTTCAAGGTTTCCACCAAGGTTTGCAGCTGTCCTCATTTGATGCTGGTATGGCCTCGTCTACTAATGCGGCAGCCGCTTCCACCTGCCCTGCTTTCCGACAGAGCAAAGGTGGCCCATTCAACCGCTCTGACTTTTTCAGCACGTGGTAGTCCCAGTCAGTGGATCGCGGATTCCGAAACCTATAGGACCCGCAGTGGGATGCCGGGTTAAGTTGGGGAAGAATGCCCCAGCGACCGCTTCACCGACACCAAATGCAAGGAAGACCGTACCAAGCTCCTCTCTGAGGACGAACATCCTCCATAGGCTCGTCCTGAAACCAGGACTTTGCCTCTGGAGGCGCTTCAAGATGGTGGTTGTGTCATCCAGGAGCCCGTATAAGACGGCTATCACCTTGGTTAACCTAGAGACGTGCCTCTGCACTTTCCCAGGGTCTAATGAGAAGGACGGTCCTCTCCAACCTGTGGAAGGTCTTCGCATTCGGTCACAATGGCACCGAGTGAAGGATTAATTGAGTATATCCAAGCAACTCGTTTGGAGATCAAGCATTAGTGTCAAAACTGGCAAATGTCACTACAATCATGTCAGTTACATGCTTATATTATTCTACCTCTTATTATACATAAAATTATTAGAAACCAAGATTGTAATTAAAGTAAGTCGCTCCATTTCAACTCATATCCATTTCAAATTTCAATTACTGCAGGATTCTGGTTTGGCAACAATATCCAGAGGCGACATGGCGATGATCCTTTGTAAGTTTTTAGTTTATTCCTAGTCTCCTGTAGTAACATTTCAGACGTAACCGTTGAAAATTTGTGCGAAAGCAACTACCACATCTACGCCAAGATGGTAAAATGCTGCGAGGTGTTTGCACCGAACGATATGGACTGCCGCACGATGCAACTGATCGGAGGGGATATGGGCTGGTTAGCACCGCACTCCGCGAAGAACATCTCGCTAATTTCTCCAACACTGGTAAACGTGAAGGAAAACCTCTTCTCTATTAATAAATGTTTCAGTACTTGCACAACAGATTTGGACACTGCCTTGTTTCAATAACCTATAACTCCAGTGAGACCAGCGTTAACATACAGTTCAACACGCTGATTACGCAATTTACCGCAGAACTGCTAGGTGAACAGATTTTTGAGGCGAAAATTAATATCAGCTTAAATTTTAGATTACTGCGGAGATAAAAATACGACCCAATGCGACACTGTGGATCTGGACCCACTAAGCGAGTGCGAACCGGTGAATTGTCAGATGAAGTATTTGGGCGCGCGTAATTACTTCAATTGCAAATGGAGACGTTGCCAAAAGGTTCCGCTATGTGTAGCAGATCCCGACAAGTCACTACCTGACGTGGTAAGCATCAACGTGTTCCTCTCACAAAATGGACGGCCTTCTTTTTAAGTCCTATGTACCGCTCAATAACCAGTGCCGAGACTTAGAGGATATAAACTTAAAAGACTTACAAGAGTTGCAACAGGACCTTTGGAGAGGTGAAGTCGGGCCAAGGGTATCGGTAACGCGACCACAGCCGAACATTCGCTGCAACCATGGAAAGATGAACGAAGATAGCGGATTTTGCACGTGCGATGATGGATGGACAACTACAGCAGTTGATGGAAATCAATACGAACCGACCTTGGCAATCTATCACATGTGCAACACAGAAATCATTCCCGTAAGGTCAAAAGCTGGCCACTTCTTTTACGTCGTTTTTGTAAGTGAATTCTTGCGCGTCAACAGAAAGCTCTTAGTACTTTGCTTCAGGTGACAGGGGCGTCTATTGCCCTACTTCTTCTACTGACTTCCTTCCTATGCCATCTAAGCTACAGGTACATTTACGACTTGCACTGTGTGTCATCCTTTGACTTGTCAGATGTGAGCAGCTGCTACTGTGGGGCTATACGCCAGTTGACTGTGACCGAACCAATATCAAATCAATCACAATTCTGTAACTGCTGCCGTAATGCCTACGAGTCACTTCCAACACAAACAGTTGGTACCAATTTTGAAGAACAACAACCGCCGATAGTTGCAAGCGAAGATGGTGTTTCGTACCCAACAACATCAATACAGCAGATCTCGGACCACACCTCTGAATATACAACCGAAGAGGAATTATCCGACTTTTGATCTCTTTCTCTATTAAGAATACTCTGTATAAGTTAATCTCTATTCTGTATCTCATACTACTTTATTTAGTATACTTCTCAGGTTGTAAGGAAATCATTTTTAAATTTGGTCTTCTTCGTAGGCTAAAGTAGTGGGTGAATTTCATCCCTTAAATATCGCTTCTTAGTCTGTAGACTATAGACGATTTCCTTAAGCAAAAGTAATGAGGGTAGCCAAGTTAAGTGCAATTTAGGGGAGATTGGACAATGATTATTCACGTAGGGACTAACCAAGAGAAAAATTGCTCTGACGGCGATAGTTATTCATACAGGGTGTCCAACGGCAAACTGAATAGGTTGGTATATGGTTGTAAACTTTTTATCTTCTGATCCAACAACCAGTGACGATACACTGGAAAAGGTTCAAAATGTGATACAACAAAAAAACAGTTTTATTTAACTTAAAAAAAGTATGTTTAGAGATAAACTATTGTAAAGGATGCACTAGCGATAACGTCTGTTTGGATACGCCTCTCTTAATTAAATGCGGAATCGTTTTTGGCACCATTCTGAAATAGAGACATTAAAAAAATGAAATAGGGACATGTTGGTACATACTGAATGCAATCGATAATGGGACAGACAGACAAACACATATTGCAACCGGTGCAATCCTGATTCACGTGGGGTACGTGAGTTTCTGGGTCGAATTCTATAGCTTGGTACCCTGAGTCATTGCAAGCCATGTAGCACTTTCCGCAGTTGATGCACATGTCCTATAAGATAAACGCTGACCAAAGACTTTCTTTGAAATTAATTATGATCTTACATCGTCAATGAGAGCAACAACCTGCATTTGCAAGTCTAACTGTTTGTAAGTGCCAATACGTGGTACTGCGCGTCCCGTTACATCTTTAAGTTTAACCACCTCGCCGTTTTTGACAAGGTTAGCTTCGTGGTCACCATTACTAATCACTTCGCCGTTCTCCTTCGGTGCGGTTCTTAACTCCTTCAGTTTCTCCTCGCGTTCGCGACGATAAGGTCCAAAATGTGGGAGTACCTGAAATGGGGATGAGTATGCGACCAACAACTTTGTTAGGTAAACCTTGTTGTCTTTCCCGTAAATGGTAACCACCGGCTTCCCCAGCTGGTGCTTAGAAGTTGGAGGGCTCTGCCCGTCCCATTTCGGGAATTTGTTCTCTAAGTATAACAACGTTTTTAAACCGGTGCAATAGTCATTAATGAGAGTAAAGTCTTGGTTCTGCACCGCGCTTCCCACTTGAACTGCGAATGCTCCACACTGTATGAATTGCATGGCGGCATCTGCCGAATCTATCCCTCCCATGCCTAAAGCAACTCTAACTTTAATGTTCCAGGAAATTAGTGATTTACCTAGTATTGGAAATCCTGGAAGCGCGCGTGCTATGCTCGATACCGCTTTTAACGCGATGGGTCTTATGGCGTTGCCACTTACACCTCCGTACGTGGTTCTTTTTTCGAATCCGACCGAAGGCCAAGCCGTCGCATCGCCTTTGACACCCATCAATCCAGAGACTGTATTTATGACCGAGGCACCACTAGCGCCACCTAAGTAACTGGTTTTTTAGGAAATTGAATGCTAAAATCTTACCCTCATATGCAGCAGTAGCGAGTTCGGCAATGTCAGTGATATTTGGGGTTAGTTTTACAAATACCGGAATCGACACGGTGTTTGTGACCCACCGTGCAATATCTCTAACTTTGTCAGGATCCTGAAGCACAACAATAGCGATGGGGTTAAGCTAAAATTAGAGACTCACCCTTCCACACGCCAACCCCATTCCGGATTCCCCCATCCCATGTGGACAGGACAAGTTTAATTCCAACGCATCCGCGTTCGCCATCTTGGCCATGAGTGATAATTTCACCCAGTCACTTTCATTGTGAGGACACATCAAGCTGGCAATAACGATCTGAAACTCTCGACTAACTCAACTGGGCCAGTATCCTCTCATTACCTTCGTAGGGAAGTCGCGCTTCAGCTCGGAGATGCTTTTGCACCAGTACATCGCCTCCTTCTCCGAAATTAGCTCAATGTTCAAGAAGGATCCCTGCTGGGGGCCGTAATTAGCGCCGGAAGTAATACCGCGTACGATCCTAGGCGATACGTTCGTCACCAGGTCTTGATCGAGCGAAAACGTTTTGGTTACGGAGAAACCCCAGCCCTGCTCGAATGCGCGACGGATCATGGCGGAACTAGTCGCAGGAGGCGCCGAAGCCAAGCCGAATGGGTTTTCAAACTTGAGCCCCAAGCACTCGACTGAAATGTCCACGTTGTCGATCTCCGTGTAGAACAGTGGAAGTGCCGGTTTTGTGGTTACCGGAAGCCCCTAAAACTTAGGGTTTGGAACGGGACGGACTGAGAGCTTTACGTACCTCTAAGGCGCAATGCATGTACCAAGCGGCGGTTTTGCCATCGTTCACAGATTCGACGGTGGTTTCGGCGACACCGCCCAAATCTCCTCCGCACCAAACTAAAGGGTGCGAGCTTTGCATTGTGGTTAAATCTACAGTGGGGAGGTTGCTTTCGGTCAAGCTCAGCGGGAGTAACGCGTTAATGACTAAAGATAGATGGTGTTAGCGATTAGAAGGGCGAATTTATCATACCCACTCTTCTCGTCGAACAAGCTGGAACCGAAGGCGGATATCACGAAGTTTGCTTTGAGGGTGGTTAACTGTTCGTCGTCCTCAACCCATTTTCCTTCGTCTGTTTGTTCCGTGCGTTTAAATGTGAGCGAGCTTATCCTTCCTCCTTTAACGTTCACCTTGTGCGGTGATAAAAATCCGATCAGCTCACAATTCTCCTCTATAGCCAATGATACCTCCTCGGGAACGGCGCGAATGTTACTAAAGCCCCTTCTGAACACCACGAAGACCTTCTTAGCACCGCAACGCAACGCGGATGTGGCACAATCAAAGGCGGTATCACCAGCACCTAGCACAATTACATTACCATGCAACCGAGGCAACGTGCCCGAGGTCGCCTTGCAAGCGCACATCCCCGGTTTGCTCGCGCGAGCCACGTCCGGTAAAAACGATTTGGAAGTGTAAAATCCCATTTGGGCCGTCAACCCTTCGAATAACCCCATCGGTTTCGACTGCGGTAAGCCGATACCAACGAAAACTGCTTTAGCCCCATCATCTAGGACGCGCTGCACCGTCAAATCATCGGTCGACAGCGACCGCCCCCTCACAATTTTCACCCCCAAATCTTCAACCAATCTAATCTCAAAATTGACAACCGACAACGGAAGCCGATACTGCGGAATTTCGGACGTACTCAAGCCACCCAAGTAGTCTTCCTTCTCGTAAATCGTTATATCATCATACCCAAGCCGGCCCAGGAACGTAGCGCACGACAAGGACGCCGGTCCGGCACCGAACAGCACGATCTTGCTATCCGGATGCTTCGGTCTTGGCGTTTTCGGGTCCCTTATCTGCTTGACCATCATTTTACTGAACATCTGGAAGGGAGTAGCTTGAATGTCGTTGTGCACGTCCCGCGCATACAAACCTCGGTCGCGAATTGCTGAAGACCGCCGATATTTATGGGACCCTCTTCCGTTGCGTACAAATTGCAACCGCCCACGCATAAATCGCTGGTCGGGCAGACCATACCGCAGGTGATTCCCAGGGGGTTGTCGGAAAAGATTGCCTTGGCCGCACCATAGTAATTCTAAAATGGTATTTCGTCATTTACTTTCTCTCCCTCTCTCTTTTGGAAAGATTAAAGTGTAACTAAATACCCAGTCATAGCCCAGATTTTCTTAGCAGTTGAAAGGTGCTCACAAAGAACACTTGCGTCATCCTCCTTTGCATCATCAAAGTCTGGAGAAGGTTCCTCAGGAGGGTTTTGAGGTTTTAAGTTGTCTAAGGCCGAGAATACCAGCTTGTGCATTGACGCGGAACCTCGAATACGCGCAGACAATTTGGGAAGGGTTTGACTTTTTGATCCCGACATACCTTTTCCGGAAGAGAAGTAGTTTCTGGATTAAACGCTTGGGCAATGCCGAGCGTGGGCAGAACAAAT